AGGCCAAATTTGTCAAGATGACTAAATTGTCGTGACTTAGAAGCATAAACACTTTACGATAACTGAATTACACAACGGGGGAATTTATAAAAATATCTAATTTTATGGTTGTCAATTAAAAAAATGTCTAATTTTGATAATTCTTGTAAAAATTATCAAATTTAATACTAAATTGTCTATTATACCCTTAATGAAAAATGAAGCATTTTTTTTCAATCTGTCACGAATTTCGAAAAGAAAAAATAATTTGATAAGCTACATTAAAATGACGTTCTCAATATTTTAAAAATTGTTATCAATATTTGAACCATGTTTATCTTGATACTTCATTTGTCTGGAACGACGTTTCATTCCGAATATGAGAGTTTTACTACATTTTATAAAGCTCTTGACATATGAAATGTAGTTCTCGATATTTAATACACGTGTCAATGAAAAATATAGGGGTAATTGACGCAAAACGTCTCTACCTTTGATGGGTTTTGTACAAAACGTCCAAACCTTTCGTTTTTTGACACAGAACGTCCCTACCTCTCACATCTTTGGCTCAGAACATCATTTTCCTCAATTTTTGACTATTTTACCCTCCAATTTAAATAAAACAAAAAAGAAAAGAAAAGAAAAATAAAGAATAAATTGCAATTTGTTCCTAAACTTTTTAAAAAATGCAAATCAATCCAAAAAAAGCCCCTTCACTTCACATTCATTCTTGGGGCTATTCAAATATTTGCACACCCTCGAGCAGAGCTTTTGAAACACATGCAAAGGTGAATCTAAGTACTTGAGCTTCTTCACAATGTGGGCAATTATTTTTGTCAAGTGGGTCGAACAAGGATCCGAGTGCGCGACATAGAGAACAGCAAGGAGACGGAGGCTCTCCTTCTTCAAGGCGGGTTTCGAATCATTGCCATCGTCATAGAGGCAGTTGAGGAGCATCGAAACACCGTCATTTGATAGTGAATTTATAATTTTTTTCAAGGTCTTCCACAGCTAATTGGTGGGTGTCGCGATCTGAAAGTTTAGATAGAGAGTTAATAATTTTCTGCTTCAATTCAACCATGACTAAATGGGATGATAAAGAAGATGAAGGTGAAGCAGAAGATGATCTTGAAGGGGTT